ACTAAAGGCCAACCATCGGATGGAAGTAAAGACGCTTCTTCTAAAAAGAGTAAGTCAAAGGCATCCTCAAGAACTATACAGACATCACAGTCTTACGATGAAGCGCTAACAGCGGCTTATACCAGCAAACACCCGCTAAAGGGAATACTAAAGAAGTCCCCCAGTACTTCATTAAACGGCGGGGGTGTTTTTGCAGAGTCTTCTGTGGATGTCAACAACTCTCTTGAGGAGTCTTGCCAAGAGTGGTCTCAAGAACGGCCTGCATATCTGTTACACGGTTCTGCCAAGTCAGCACAAGAAGCACGGAACAATAACGAAGGCTCCTCACACGGCTGTCCGTCTAACTGTACCCAGAAACAAGAAAACAACGAGCAGTGCTTCGAGAAGGGAAACATTTACAGAAGACATAGAGAGTCGTACAACGACGCTGACGTTAACTGGTATTCAGAACCTCGTTTAGGAACTGGAACTAAAGAAACTGAATATGACAAATGCCGCCCAGTTTGCGACAAAACGAATCAGTCTTCTGAAATCCTCAAGGATCGGTTACATCCCTTGCAGGATTATGATCCAGGCAAGCATGCGCCTGTTATATCTAGGAAGAAACTGATCCCTTCCGTGCCTAATAGTTTTACAAACAGATCACGTAATGACAGATGGTCTTTTCCGCAATACGATCCGGATGATGCATATTCCAGGCCCCTGCCATCTCCACCAGAAAGCCGACGTGCTTCGATGATCTACCAACGAAAGCAAAGCCTGCATACTACTTACATTCCAACAAATCAAAGCTCTGAAGCTAATTACATTCCAATAGAAGAAATTCAGAAACGCAAACAGCGACACCGGAAGTTACTTCAGCATTCCGACCATCGCCCCGTGTCGGCACCAATGACGGCATGGTCGGAAAACTGCTCACCAACAACGGCAAAAGACGATCAGCTGTATCAACACACGCCAGGGAATATAGAATCGGATTTATCCGTCATTCCTAAAATAGTTTATAATCTTGTAGACTTACGTAACTTGAATCCTAGCTTTGGATCGAACCGTTGTTTAACAAACTTCGCGTCAAGATCGCGAGATCCAATTAGGAAACCAATGGGATCCCTTTACTGTCCATATTCTAATTCTTTATATAAAGCTCCGTCCGAAGGCCATATGGATCAACGTGAACGGTCATCTTCTCGTAGAAGGAAGGATCGCCCGCACAGCTCATCGAATTACGACAGAGGTCATATGTATAGCAGCCAGCCAGATCAAACTGTTGAAGTATCCCATATATACGCCACAGTGACTCGCTCCAGTACCCGAGCTTCCACATCCTCTTACGTCTATACAAGCATCTCCTACAAAACGTCCACTGATGCCTCGATTCCTAGTCACATTGGGGAACCATGTCAGTTGTCCCCAGATATTCCACCACCAACAGTGCCGCCGAGAATGTGGAGTAGCCAGTACAACTGTGCAGACTCTGATCCGTACAATCGACCACCCTTGCCTTCCTATGAGGATGTGATAGAATCTCGTGTCAGGTACAAACAGAGACGCCCTGTATCGTGGTGTGGGCCTTACTTTCAGGTAAATGTGCACTGGATGTTGTATGTTATAAATTCTGTACTCAAATATATTTCAACACAATACACCCACACCGGACTGTGGGCTACTTCGTATAACTGGGACATTTGGTTGACGGGGGATTCTGTTATTTGCAGCTATTTGATTCTCATCCATCTTATGGTAATTCTACAGACTGAAAATCTGGAGGGGAACATCTTTTTAAAAACATTATGTTCGTGCAAATCATATATACGATTAGGTATCGCGCAGTGACAGGGGTGTATACTGAGCAGTGAAATACAAACAGATTCTTTCATATTTGTGCAGTTTTATCCCTCTCAGTCATGATACCATTAAACACTTTACACAACTAGGCATGTCATAAAGTGTGCACACATCTAGACATCTTATACAGTACACATACATAAATGTAGAGACGCCAGTAGAGACCCAATGTGTCTGTGTCCTTAAATGCCTTTAAAACACTGACAGCTCTGCAGAGTATTGAATCTTCCATAGAGACGGTCTGTGGAAAATTTTACGACATTATGGAATTCCCCAAAAATAGTCAACATAATTGCTCTCTTCTATAAAGACTTTTCCTGCAGTATAAAAAATTACAATACATCTTTCCCAGTAAAGACGGGTGTAAGACAGGGATGTATTATGTCATCTCTCCTCTTCAACCTTGTGATTGATTGGATACTAAAGAACACAGTAGACAGGACATTAAGAGGCATACGATGGACTCCATCCACCATGCTTGAGGACCTTGATTTTGCAGATGATATAGCACTCCTATCACATAAACATGAACATATACAAGAGAAAAGTAACAAACTAAACTGCACAGCAGAAATGGTGGGACTGAGAATAAATACAAAGAAAACTAAGATCATGACAAACAGTCCAAACCAACAACCAGTGACCATAAGTAACCAATCACTTGAAAATGTAGAACAGTTCACGTATCTTGGAAGTGTGGTGTCCCTACTGGGAGGGACAGAGGAAGACATACAGTCACGTCTGAACAAAGCTAGAGCTGCTTTTGGAAGGATGAGACAAATCTGGAAATCCAACAATTACTGCAGAGGAACGAAACTCCGACTCTACAAGAGCATCATTTTGCCAGTTCTTCTCTATGAAGCGGAATGCTGGAGAATGACCGAAAAGGATGCACACAAGCTGTCCACCTTCCACCACACATGTCTACGTAGAATTATCAAAATTTTCTGGCCAGATACAATCTCAAACACTAAACTACTTCAAACCACAAACCAAGAAACTTTAGACAGTATGATTACCAAGAGAAGATGGAAATGGCTTGGCCACGTTATGAGAATGACTTCTGATATACCTGCCAAAACAGCTCTCACATGGACACCAGAGGGAAAGAGAAAACAGGGGCGCCCAAAAACAACATGGAGACGAACGATGGAAAGTGACCTGAGTACGGCAACTTTGACATGGAAAACTGCATTGAAGATAGCACAGGACAGGAAAGCATGGAAAGTCCTCTCTGAAGCCTCATGTGCTACTAGGCATAACGAGAACTGATGATGATGATGGGCAAAAGCATAGATGTGTTTTGTAAAGAGGATCCCATATCCGATAATGTTGCTGGGATGTGAAGAAAATACAATGGTGAGGTTGGTTCTCCAGTTTTCTTCTTCTTTAGCCTCCCTTCCTAGTCGAGTCTGAATTAAAGTCATCAGGCAAACGTATACGGGGGGATCTGGTGTACTTTAAGCTCTGTACTTTAACGTCCTGTACTTTACCGTTGTTGGAAATATACGTCGCTGTCACAAGTTGATGATGATCAATTAGGCAAGTCAACACGAGGCTCGCAGGTAGGCCTTTGCTAAACTCAAACTGAGAATCGTGGGCAGGAGTAGATTAGCGACAACTTATGTGGAAGTGGCAAAGATGGGATTTTAGAGTTGTTGTTGGCTTGGTCAAGAGAATCGGTGTTTTGGTGAAAAGAATCGGTGTTTTGGTGAAAAGAATCGGTGTTTTGGTGAAGAAAGGGAAAAATAATTTGACTTATGTTTACTTTGATTACTTGAAAAGAAGAGAATGTAATTACACATAGGTTAAGAATCTGAGCGTCTGTGAAGAACCACGTTGAATACATGCAGTGGCAACCCTTGTCCTGACTTTACATGTTCCGAATGTGTAAGGCTTCTTAACGCCAGTTGGTCTTGCTTGCCGCACATGACTCCTAAAGGGCTGTCAATGTTGAGCCTCCATGTAGCGCAGTAGAAAACTCTCGTTTAGAAAGATGAAAAGACGTCAACAGCATCTTCCAGTTCATCTGTGATAAGTATTATTTCCATCTTTATGCACATTATACGAAGACATTCAACATGTCATGACCTTTGTGCCATGTTTGCATAGTTCAAGGACGTTTGCATTCACCCTTGCTAACGGAAATAGATCGGTATCGCCGAGGTGTTTACTACCAACAACAATGAAAACAACACCCAGCAACAATGAAACTGTAGAGGGAAAAGTGTGTACAAGTCTGACTCATTTTCTGATAAACATGTATGATGCAAGATGAGAGTTATGTTTAATTAAAGTTGTTACAGCCTGAATGAAAACAAAATGTCCGCAATTGTTAGCCAAAATGACAAGCATTAGATCTATTAGCCAACAATGCGCCCATCAATGACATATGTGTGTCTTCGGTAAGAAGAGCCATTACTAGAGCCTTATATCAAACTGGACGCACGAAGCGGTAAACGAGGAAGTGAAATAGATGAAATAGCTTCTTTTTTTTTTTCTTTTACCCCTGCCTTTAAAAGGGCGTTTCTCACATCATCTGGAGGTTTTCAGCTCGGCTGCGATGTCTGCTTCTTTAAGCCTATCTCATCCTTCCTGTGTGTTTTTCTGGGCCACAAACAAGAATGAAACCACGGCTTCCCTTACACGCTTGTTGAAAGAGTCGACTAACTGGGAGCTTCTTTCGAAGTCATGTGTGCATCTTCCTGAGAGGCAAAGAAACAAGTCTGCATTAAAAAAGCCGGATCTGTAAAACGGATTTGCGCGCAACACTCAGGTTCTGGAGCAAGACTCAAGTTCTGAGGTGGACAAACAACCAGAACGTTTCGCCGGAATTTACAGCCGGTGTACGCGAAGAAGAAGACCGAACACGTCCGATTTTTATCAAACCCCTATTCGGTCGCCTTTTACACTATGTGGGGGGGGGGGGGGGGGGGGGGGGGTGGTTCTTGCTTCTTACTTCACTTATACACAAATGTGGCCCTACGGAATCCCACGTCAGAAACAAAAAAAAAACTAGGGAAGCAAACGACAAATTGCTTCATGTATTATGTAATCCTTTCTGTTACAGGAGAACGAGCGAAGGAGGGAAGCTGTGATGAACCTGCTGGCTCAGAGGTACCCCTCAGTATGCAGACAGGATCCAAGGGGTGGGGATGTCAGGCTCGGCCCAGCCCCTACAGCCAGACAAGGTAAGAGAGCCACGTGACTTGTACCTGAGATGCCGTATCTGATTTCATGCATGAACGGGGATGAGGATGTGTGCATGTCAATGAACGGTTTCTTTGGGAGCGCACGTATTTTGATTTGAACTGTGCAGCTGTAATGAGATAATAGGTCACTGTAAACTTTTGTTCCTGTTGTCGTGCTTGTTATTCTCTCCTTCCTCCCTCAATTCTTATCTTTTAAGTTGAACAGAGAAGATACATTATATTAAACAATTAATCACCCAAAACCGCTGTGTATCTTGCCAGGTGCCAACTAGAACTATTACTTACGTCATGTTTATGGTTCATATTTATTCAATGGATCATCATCATCATGTCACTCGGGTGTAACCCATACGCGCTGCATTCTACTTTTTTCTCAAGTCTGAACAATCTCAGCGCAGTGCACGAACTCTGTTGCGCTAGCGAGGATCCTGAAATACTTTGGGTAGATTTTTAAGTCCAAATTTTGCCTGGCAGCGCCGTTATGCTACGCTTTTCGCGATTTCCAACTGCCGAGGGAATTTTTGTTTTCGTGCGCAACAATACACACGGGTGACGATTTACACTACCAAGAGACCAGAAGAAATTACTAGTCCACGTGAAACAATC